ATCATAAATTCACAAATTTCATATATATGATAAATAACAATTCTGAAAGAATTTCAAATAATCTCACATATATTATGAATAAAATTTTTTAAAGAGTTTTCAAATTAAATATCACAAATGACAAAATGATTTCAACTCTCACTCTCTCACTTGTTCGGTCATTGTTGGAACTCTATTCTAATAAAAAAAAGTCCAACTATCATTATTATCCAATTCTAATTCTTGGTTCTTAAAAAAATAAAAAAAAAATATATAAAAAATCCAACTCGAAGCTGGACCTTGTGTAGATCCGCCAATGATTAAGAGTATATTTCAAATAAAAAAACTGAAATAATACATAATGTATAATGATTCTGACTACTTATTTTAATAAAATTGATATTCTAAAATGGAACAACTACAAACTAAATATTAGTTTAGTTCAATAGTTTATTTGTCAATACTCACGTAATGTAGTGCCATATGTACTTATTAAAAATATGTAGTGTAACATGGTCGTGATTTTTTTTTTCCTTCAGATATATTCAGATCAATTGTCCCTTTCTAAACCTTACTGGATTGCAAACAAAAACTCTAAAAAATACGTACTTGTAATCACAATGACGGGTGATAACGGATAAGTGAATCATATCTTTTATTTATTCTGATTTTGGTTTGACCATTTTTTGAAGTAGTAAACGATAGAGAAAAAAAGAAAAAATAATGCTACTTGTACATAATTATTTATAAATTAGTATATAGATTGATAACAAGACATTATCAGCTTGTTTGGGAGCGATTTTTTGCTCCAAAAAATTGGTTTTTTGACCGTTATTTCACTATTTCAGCCGACATATTTGACTTCTTCTCTCACATGCGGACCCCACTTTTTTCCTAACGGTCAAAAAATCAATTCTCAAAATCACTCCCAAACAGGCTCTATATTAAATTTCTTATTTTTTTGCCCTCTCATTCTCTCTCTTTCAATCTATTTTTCTTTTTCCTTTTTCTTTGTACATTAATCTGTAAATAATCATGTAAAAGTAGCATCATTCAAAAAGAGGAGCAGTTTTATTTTTATGCTGCTGAATGAATGGATAGGTTGGTCTGCCATATTAAGAAGCAATCTCGCAACAAAAAGCATTATTGATATCATCGCGAGCTAGTGCTTCAAGCAAGTGGCTCAATCATTCTTGGCATCATCGCGTAAGTGATTTGAAGTATTAGATAAACTTAACTGAGTTGAAGAAAGAAAATAATAAATTTTTTTTTTTATATTTATATATATCGCATATGAAATGTTACACACAAAATTTCACGCACTTGTCTTCTTAAATTATGTCTATTTTTATGCAGTCAAACGTATCTGTTGCATCGCTAAAAAAACTCTCTTTGAATATTCACATGCCCCTACTTTAATTTCGATAGTAAAATTTAGTCGAAGTTAAACATCAAATACAAATTCAATTTCTCCCCTATTTACTTGTGTGCTAGCTAGAAATAAAATACCAAATACAATGAGATACTATTAATCTACTTTATTTTTCACGGGAGATTTTTTAAAAGTACTAAACTCCAATATTTCACACTTTCAAAATTTTTTATTTTACGTAATTATTTTTAAAAATAATTATTGGATTATTTTTTTTTTCTTTATTTCGATCATCTTTTGCTGGCCCAAGAGTTGAAGTGATGGGTTTATAGATTATTTGAGTCTATTTAACTTTTGTTCTTTAAATATTTGACCTCTATTTTATTTTATTTTATTTTTTGACAAAATTATATGATCTCTACTAATTATGTTAATAGCATTACATTTCTCCAATCTTATCCCTAATGAATAATAAGCATTTGAATATACTTCATATCTGAGTCGTTAAG